TAAAATGTGCATACTAAGCACACAAAAGAGTCAACTATTAGGTTGGGATGTAACTTAGTGTTAGAGCACTTGCCTAGCTTATATAAGGCCTGGTTCAGTCTCTTGCACCACATACACAAAAAGATGTGTCAGCTATTAATATTAGTTTATTATTAATTCTGCTCTCTGCTCTGGCATGGTAAATTCACTCCCTGTCCATGAGACAGGTCACAAAACAATTGAAAACAATTGTGTTCCTATGTCCCTTCTTTTTTAGGAAGGAAACATGTTCAGTCTCTGCAACTGCTTCATCTTCCCTGGGAATGTTTCATTTTCTCCTAATGTTCATCAATTTATTCCTAGGCCTAAAACAGTGCTTCAAATACGATCAGACCAGGACACAGGGATGCAGTGTTCTGTTGCACTGGGTGGTAGTCATGCCAGTTTTCTTTCTTTCTTTCTTTCTTTTTTTTTTTCATGCCAGTTTTCTTATTCAAAGACTTTGCAGTAAACTAAAACACTGACCTGACTTCTTTTTATTTTGTTTTGGGTAGTTTTTTATTTTTTGAGACAGGGTCTCATTATGTAATCCAGACTGGCCTTGAACTCACTATGTAGTCCAGGATGACTTCCAACTTGCAGCAATCCTCCTTCCTCAGCCTCCCAAGTACTGGGATTGTAGGCATGCACCACCATGCCCAGCAAACCCTGACTTCTTGCTTGCTAAACTACAAAGCCATATTTCCATCAGCCCTTTAACAGTTGATAATTCTGCCATTATTATTTTGGGGTTTTTTTGGTCTTTTTGAGACAGGGTCTCGCTATGCAGTTCAGGCTGGCCTTTGAGCTCACTTTGTAACCCAGGCTGGTCTCGAACTTGCAACGATCCTCCTGCCTCAGCCTCCCGAGTGCTGGGAGTGCTGGGATTACAGGCGTGCGCCACCATGCCTGGTCTCTGCCGTTATTTTGAACCCTATTAAATTTTATCACATTGGTTCTGTCTCAGTGCTTCATCCTATGTGATCACTTTGAATCCTGACTGGATGGTACTGTGTATCAGCCATCTCTCCAAATGTTTTACTGGTAGTCATATGGAAAATGAGATATAGTATTGGGCAGAGCACAGCCAAAACAAAACCTCTTGCATATCCCAAACTTTTCACCAAGTGGTCATCCCATCTAGTAAGTAATATTCTGTGAGTGTATTTGTTTACACAGCTATGACTTTACTTAACAGAATTTATCACCTAACCCACTGACCTTCTTTGGCAATAAGAATTTTAATATACAGTACTTTTATTTAAGATGATGATACTAACAAAATGAAACTGGTTTTCAAAACTGAAGATGTATGACAGAATATTTGTCTCTAACATCTCAAAACATTTGGAGAAGCTGGGCCTGGTGGTGCATGCCTGTAATCCCAGAATTTGGGAGGCTGAGGCAGGAGGATCCTTGCGAGTTTGAGACCAGCTTGGGCTACCAAGTGAGCTCAAGGCCAGCCTGAACTGCATAGTGAGACCCTATGTCAAAAGAAGACAAAAAAAAAAAAAAAAAATTGGAGAAATTGAATGAAGATTATAAGGGAATTTTAAAATTATTTTCAACTCTTGTAAATCTGAACTTGTTTCAGAATTGAAAATTAAAAGAGAAAAGCCAGGCATAGTGGTGCATACCTGTTCCCAGCACTCGGGCAGGTGAGGAAGGAGGAGTGCTGGGAATTCGAAGCCAGCCTGGGCCACATAGCAAGACTTGGTCTCAAATAATTTATAGGGTCAGGGAAATAGCTCAGCATCACAGCGCCTGCCTGTAAGTGCAAGGTACTGAGTTCGATTCCCTGTACAAACAAACAAACAAACAAACAAAATACATAAACTAGAATAAAAAGTTGCAGAATCATAAACATAAAGATCCTATTTTAAACTCACTATAGTGTAGCTCAGGGATATAGCACATGCTTAGCATATGCAAGGCTTGAGTTCAAGCCCCAACACCACAAAAAACAACAACAAAAAAGCTTTATATTGTGTGTAGTTGAATAAATAATGGGGTGGTTTAAGAGTCTATATATATATATATCTCAAACTGTTAAGTGATTTCCTTTGAAAGACACAGTATAAGAAGAGGAATAAGGAAGAGAACTAATAATCCCTCCTGAGCGACTTTTCGTAATTAATTTGTAATCTAAAGAAATGCATACAAAAATTTAGATGGAATAGAATGAAAAAAATATTATACCTACTCTATTTTCTAGGTATAAATATAAATATATATAAAATAATATTTTATATATCAGACTATAATCATATTGTTTAGCAATATGAAATATGGAGTTTAAAAGCCTCAAGCCTTTTTCTTGGACTTTTTTTAATCACCAAAGTCCAAATTTCATCTGTTTATCACCATCTAAGATCATCTATCATCCTATGATCATTTTTATCCCAGTTGACTGAAGAAGCTGAGGCCCAGGGTTTCTGAGCTGAGCGAAAAAAAGTGGCTACTTTACTTCAACCACGAGGATTGCACTTCTGCCCTCAGAGATTAATGTGTCTGCGATAGCAGAGTTAAAGTGGTGAGCACTTATCCAGGAAAGCTGCTTAGCAGAAAAATCCATCTAGGTTATTCAAAACACAAGTTATCTTTTACTTCCCTAGAGGTCATTTGCCATAAATTATCTGAATCCTTGATTATAAGACCTTGGGAGGTGGATCAAAATTTAATATAAACTCAGAGCCCAGGGAATAATGTTTTATTTACTAGGTAAATGCCAATGGCTGATAATACCTGCATACTACAGATACATTTATTAATATGGGAATGTAGGTATGCTGAGGTATTCCATAGATAAGGTGGGTACTTCTTTGTTTGTTTTGTTTGTTTTTTGTCTTTTTGAGACAGGGTCTCACTATGCAGTTCAGCCTGGCCTTGAGCTCACTTTGTAGCCCAGGCTGGCTTCGAACTTACAATGATCCTCTTGCCTCAGCCTCCCAAGTGCTGGGATTACAGGTGTGCGCCACCACACCCAGCAAGGTGGGTACTTCTTTTTTTTTTTTTTTTTTTAAGGTGGGTACTTCTTGACCGAGGAAATCAACCAACAAACTTTCAAGGAGTTACTATCTGTACTAGTTGTTCTTTGAAAATCACCATGACTGTATGATTTTCAGGGTTTCCACAATTTCTTTATATTTATTTTAATTCGCTGATATATACCTGGGATATTGATAAAGATATAATAGCTTCATTGAAATATATAGTTCAAAGAACATGAAGTTTACCCTCTTAGAGTATATAGCTTGGTGATTTTTAGTATAATAACACAGTTGTGTTTTAGGTACCACTAACTTGAGAACATTTTTATCACCCTAAAAAGAACCCCATGCCCATTAGCAGTCATACCACATTTTCCCCAACCCTTAGTTCCTGAAAACCAGTAATCTGTTTTCTGTATCTATGGATTTCAGATATATCATGTAGTTGTGGAAATATACACATAGCCTTTTACATTTGGCTTCTTTCATGTAGCATAATATGTTCAAGGTTCATCCCTTTTTTAGCTTGTATCAGAATTTTATTCCTGGGGCTGGGGATTTAGCTCAGCAGCACAGCGCCTGCCTGGCAAGTGAAAGGTCGTGAGTTCAATTCCCCATACTGGAAAAAAATCAAAAACAAAAAAATCAAACAAACAAAAAAAAGAATTTTATTCCCTTTCAGCACTTTATTTATCTATTTATAAATGGACATTTATTGTATCTTTTTCTTTCATTTATTGTATCATTTTCTTTTTAGTTTCTTTAAAAATTTTTTTTTTTATGTTTTCATCTTTTAGGTCATTTCTACTTTTCGGCTTTTTTTTTTGAGACCAAGTGTTGCTGTGTAGCCCAGACTGGCCTCAAACTTCTAACGATCCTCCTGCCTCAGCCTCCAGAGTGCTTAGATTACAGGCCTATGCCACTGCACCTGGCTTTGAGTTCATTTTTATGTATGTTGGAAGGTAGGAATCTAATGTCATTCTTTTTCTGCACGTGAATATCCAGTGGTTTGAACATCATTTGTGGCAAAGACTCTTCTTTCGCCATGAATTGCCTTTGGGGAAATCAGTTGACCACATGTATAAAAGTTTACCTGGACTCTTAATTGTGTTTCACTCATCTACATTTCCAAGCACACTGGGTTGATTACTATAGCTTTGTAGTATGTTATGAAATCAGACCATGTAACTCTGACTTTTCTTTCTCCTTTCCTGGTGCTGTCTTCTCATGGGTAATTAAGTCTGGGGGGCATAAGAGCCCATGGGCTCTAATATGATGTCGTTTCAACAACCTTGTTTCTAAGGTGTTGGGGGTTAGGACTTCAACCTGTGTCTTTGGTAGACGTAACTGAATCCATTAAAAATTCACGCACCTTGGGGCTGGGGATTTACCTCAGC